ATGCTTTCAAAGGATGCTCAGCCTACATAATGTTTTATCATTAAAAGATGTCTATATGAACAAAACAAAAAATATATAAATTGAAAGGAGAATAAAAACAGCATAAATTAAACTTTCTGACAAGACCGATTTAGAACGAGCAAATCAAAGTGTCTAACAGTTCCCAATATGCCTCGAGGGCGCAAATAATGCTAACAATGAGAAACAAGAGAGGAAAAGGGAAATAAGAACCAAAAGGAATTTTCATGTTCGTGGAATTTATTTATTTATACTTTTTTGTGGCCATAAATTTAAAATTCACACAATGCAAAAAGGCACTAAAACAGACTGTCTAATCCAAGCAAGCTGCAAGCTAAATATTATCTGTACAGACATACACGTTGGAAGCGACAAAAGCTGATTGTTTTTAAGACTTCTTCAATTTTCGGAACTACCATTGTGTGTGACTTGAATCATCAATTATGCACCTTTCCCGTCAATGTGAAGTAAGAAGTCAATCAACCATCTGTACGAATCAATGACACCAAGCAGTGAGGAACAAAAACTGATTTTTTTTTTATTTATGAATTATTACGTAATTCAACACTTTGAAACGTGATCTAATGCTTAAAAGTAGCTTGAGTATATGACTTTATTTTTATATTCGTGTGATCACACAAAGCCGCACCAACGCAATTGCCTCAATATGGTCAAAAAGCTAGTGTGTTAGGAGACATATAAAATATTTAAATTATTTCTACATGACTTTGCATAGATCATGCTTATTATGTGTCGTAGACGGAGTCATCAGTTCCACAGAAATATTTTCGCGCGACGATGGAGGGATTTTTGAGATTTTTAAGTCAAGGCCGTTGCCTGTTGAATATGTATAGCTCTTAATGTTAATCATAACAAGACATTACATAGACGAGGCATTGCACTGAAATTTAATATAAAACACAGGCAACATCAAGTCTGAAAACAATAGTTAATTATGTACATCTCCATGATGTTGCTGGTTCCGTAGTCAAATAAGTATTTATAAGCATTTAGTGACGCATTAGTTTACAATTTTTTACACCCAAAAGAGTAAAAAATCTGAATGGAATGAAATGGAAGTTCAATGAAAAGCCTTGTAATGAGATTTTTCGGGTTTGCTCGATGCTTAGACTTATTTGGAATGTTATTAATGTTTGCTTTGTACTGTATGGAATGAATTTTCGGAACTTTTTAATTTGGAAATGGATTTAGCTAAGTTTGAAAGTATGATTAATCTCTTTTGTATATGTACTAAGTGCTTTTGAATCTTAAGGAACTTAGCAAGTTCTTTGCGAATTGATAAAACTTGATTTGTCTTAAAACAATAAGAATTGATCTTTATTGTTCAAATTCTAGTGAAAGACTGAAAATTTGATTCAGAAAGGGGCAAACAACTATGTATAAATGTTTTGCAGGGGAATTCTATGAACTAGCTTTTTTCAAAAATTGATTGTCAGTAAGAAAGTTCTCAAAAAAGATAAAAAACCTGCAAAATGTAACCTCATTTGAGTCTGTTAATGAGAACTCATTTCAGTCGTTTTAATCATCAACTCATTTATCACAAAAACCTTCCCCCAAGCCATCCATTAAGGAACTTTATTTACTTTTCGGAAAAGCCTTCATTTATGAACAGATCACTGCAGATAACTTCCAACAATTGATAGTTTAAGAACAATATAAATGAGAAAAAAAATCCTGTCTCTTAATAACCAGTAATTGTGCACATTCAGAGGCTGTCGCTCCCAATAAATTATTAACAATGTGAATTTCCTTTTAAGTAAGAACGTAATTGAAGTTGGAAACAATATTAAAATATAAATAAAAGAGAGCCTGTATTAATCACCATTCTCCACACAGTCATGCATTATAATGGAACTTACTTAATAATGAAATTGAGCATTAAAGGCTTGTTCATTCTTAATTTCTTTGGCATAAAAATCTTTTAATCCATACATTGATTAATTATCGCAAAAATTATGCGAAAAAGCTTAATTTTGTAGTTTTTTGTGCCTCAAAAAAAAAAAAATTCTCGGCAACGTTTTGTTAATTTTTTCAATAGAAGAAAAATTAATCGACAGCATGAATGAACGCGAAAGAGACAATGAAGAAAGAAAAATCTTTAAAATCGTGTTTATATATTTTTGGAATAGAAAAAACCTGAGAAAGAGACTTAATCACATTACTTTACTTCTATACAGAGTTGCTGATGATTTTCAATGTGACAGAAACCTTGTGCTTATTGCCATTTTAAGCAATTTTTTATGTTTTTAAAGAAATCTTCTCATTTTAATATAATTTAATTTTTTTCTTCAATGCGTGACGATGTGACTCGTCTTCAAGGCATGGACAAACATGAGTGTTGCTTAAATTGACTTCAATGTCTGCACAAAAATGGTGCGAATTCATTATTCAATCAAGTATTATATGTGTATCAATATTTGAGGCTTTCTATTGTGAATTTGTCATCTTTGAACGGAGAGTTGTCAAAATTTATTGGATTTGAAATATTTGAATATTATTTGAAAGGGGGGGGGGGGGGGGGGTTGGTTTTTTTCTGGGTCCAATAATGGACTCTTTGATTGGATTTTTCAAGTTGTAGATCCAGGGGCCCCCTCACTTCCTTTGTTCTCAAATGTTTTGGACCATCAAGTCACTCTGATTAGGTTCAGAGATGGGGAGGGGGGGGGGTCAATATCAATAAAACTTTGAAAACAATCAAAATGCACATGAATCTCACATATTACATGAAACCATCTCTAAGCACCATCCATCCAACACCTGATCAGCTGTCATGTCAAAATTTCTAACATTTAATAACATGTTCATCACAACAATTCAATAGTTGAAGGCAAAACATCCTTTTTCTCATCATTTATCCTCAATCATCAATAAATTAGCAACATGAAACAATAAAGTCCAAACCTTGTGATGGATTAAAGCACGAATCTAATAAAATATGATAAATGAAAACAAGAAAGGATTTAAAATATTAAAAGCAAAGAATCAAGAAGAAGCATCAAAATTGCTTGATGAAAGGCACAACGACTGGTATTGTCCATTGACTTTGTAGCTAGTTCAAAGAAAGTATTAAGAATTCCCATAGAAACAAAACACAAGCATGGCCTTAAATAGCTCGTAAAGAGCTTAAAATTTATTACCTCTCATTACAATAAGTTCTTCTAAAAGGCACCAAAGCACAACCGACAGTGAAGGAGTGAGAGAGAAGTTTCTCTATTTCATATACCTATGGTCTTTGCACTGCAATTTTTATTAGCAAGTCATAGGAAAGGAAAAAGTACGCATAATTGTTTGTAATTTTGTCTGTCTGACTGTATCGTAACTGTTGATTCGAATTTTAAAATTTTAACCGTTATTTCATTTTTCAAAATATTTTGTCAACTTTCAAATATTTTTCGATCGTTATTTTTTCAACGATTATTTTTTAAAGTCAACTTAATCTTGATGATCTACAAAAAAATACGCTTTAGTGGATCATAAAATGACCCAACATTCAAACTAGTTTTACTTTTTTATACCTTCAAGTAACGATTACATTGGAGTTGCATGCCATACCAACTCAACCATATAAGAGAGTTCAATTTAGTTCAATTACAAAATAACAAATAAAAAAAAATGTATAAAAATTCACATAAATAGTCAAACGAGAGTGCGATCGAGCAATAATCGACAACAGACAAAATCAAGGCCGTGTAATTAAATATTTTTCGTCATGTCTTCATCTTCAATTTCGCACAAACAAAATTGTTTGATCATCAATACGTGCGAATTCTTGTTGCTGTTCATTATGATGTCTTAATTTCTATTTTATACATGCGATATGTCATAAATGTCGATACTTTTGACATAATAAATATACGTTTCAAATTATAGGCGATTGAGATGGTACCTGAAAAGGAAATATTACTGACCTACGGGATCAATTTGCCTGTCTTTTAGTTTTTATCTATTAAATAATTTTTAATATCATGGTCATGTTGATATTTTTAAGTAGGTGAATGGTTTTCTGGTTAATATTACTTTCAGTCATTTAGTAAAGAAACATATTACTCAATTATCAGTTGAACGTGGCTAAAGATCAATGGCTTTTATACAGGTTCAAAAAAATGTTTTTTAAAATAACGAATTTCAAAAATTTGAAACTTCATTTTTTCCAATTTTTTTTCTCGGTTTGATTTTCAAATTTTTAAAACCGTCAACTTAATTTTACTGGTAACAGTTTTTAAAAATTTGAAAATTATCCGAAGAAAAAAAGTCAAAAAAATGAGGTTTCAAATTTTTGAAATTCGTTATTTTTATAGGCACTCAGGTTGAAAGTATTTCGTTTTATAGCTTTTGAAACTTTTAAAAATTTAACGGTTTTTTAAAATTCGAAAATCAAATTCAAATTTCCGTTAAAAATCTTCAAAGAACAAAAACTCATAAAATCAAAACCCACCCCCCCCCCCCCCCCCCCCCCACTCAAAGTTTTAACCTGCAAGTTTTTTAAGGGAGGGACGGAGGAGGTGAGAAATCCTGATTTTTAATAGTCTCAATCTATAAACGACTCTATATCCCATTCATCAATGTAAAAACCAAACAACACGAAAGTAAAAGTATATACAGATTATGTAAATCTGTAAAGCCATAATAATTGAAAAATTTATTAACCATTCAATAAAATTAAAATTCAATTTGCAACTCTACAGTCCGTGAAATTTCATCGGAAATTCCTTTTAAGTTTGATCAGAAATATAAAAATAAAAATGACTTTGCGAAAAATGCACATAAGATTAAACAAAAAACAGGCAGCACAGAAAGTAGCTCACGAGGCTTTTAAATGATGACATACTAATGTATATTCCCTTAATGCATCAGTTCTAACTGTACATAATAATTTTATTTGTTTCTTCTTCTTCTTCTTTTCTTTTGGATATTCGTGAATTTTTAAATTAAATAAAATTTCTCATTCTATATTAATATAGGACGATGGAAGCATTGAGTTCTTCAATACGATAGTACTGCAGCCGCATCTAAAGCTTATGACCGACTTAGGAAGAGGTTATCATATCAGATGTCGCTACAAGAATCGAGAGGCAGCGATCAAATCAACTGGATCTTTCGGTGTGTCAAAAGATGATGTTGATGTTCAGAGACCTCAAGCTTACACAAGTGATGAGAAGAAGGATAGACGTGAACATGGGAGAGTACTTATTCATGGGTATGTTATTACATGCATGATCATTATTAATAAAAAGTAAAACCAACTTCATGGCTATGTACATCTATAAATATAATAACAATAATTTAATGCATATTCTTTTACATTTTCCTTTCATTTGACTTGCAGTAGTGACTCATCTAATGAAATTCCAATGCCTGCGTGCCATATGAAAATTTATACAGGCAATAAACTAGCCGAGAGTGTACAGATTGGCGATCAATTGAAATTGATTGTTAACATCGATAAACAAGATCAATATGGTCTTCATGTCACCGATTGTTCAGTAAGAGATGGTCTCGGATGGGGTGAACAGAGGTTGATTGACGCCACTGGCTGTCCACTCGATCAAGAAATCGTCGGTCCATTCGATTACGATAGTGATCGTACAAAAGCTACTGTATCATTTCCTGCCCACAAGTTTCCATACACTACATCTGTTTATTATCAATGTAATGTAAGACTGTGTTCATTGCACGAAGAAAACTGCCATAAGGTAAGTGCTTTATGATTATTTTCTTGAATGTCATTTGAGTTCATCATTCTTTATATGCGATTTATTGATCAAGAAGATCTTTTTGATTTTGTTTTGCGAATTTTGAGGTTTTTTCTGTGACTTTTTGAGTTTACTCCATACTGTTAATGGTTTTGATTAGTTCCTTGATGACTTACTATTGGTTTTTGATTAGATTTTGCAGTGTGAAGCTTAAAAATAAAAGAAATTTGATCTTACTTCAACAAATCTATTTCAATACCTTATAAATTCTTTATTCAAACGACAAAACCCTTCAAATACTTGAAAATTCAAATTGTTTTAAACCGTTATGTTTTCAAAACTGTTCGTGCTTCTAAATATAGCAACAAAACAGTACAGAATTTCCTGTATCTTACAATTATCTATAAAAACAACCCAAACGAATCAAAACACACGATCAAGCTGTTAATATTAATGATCATCTTGTTAGGAACAAGAATATAAGCAGAAATGATGGCAAAAACCTGTTGACATTCTTTACTTATACTCCTCAAATACAATCTAATTAATTGATTAATTACGTAGACACCATCATGTAATGGAACGAGAAGAACAAAACGAGCAACAGATGAGGACGACGATGGTTTACCGGCAACGATTGAGGTGTTCTCAGGTCTTTATGTCAACGAGAATGCCGAAGTGATTGATGATGGCTACGATTCAGTACTCAAAGAGAAGGTAATAACAATAATTAATCATTAATCATCGAACATTAATATTGTTAAATGTCGTCTTCGAATTGTATGAGTTATATAATTAATGTTTTATTTCCATTTCACGATCGCATGATAATTACTTATAATGTCAAAATATTTTTCTTTCTATTCCATTTTTAGAATCCAGACGATGCGATTTGCGTATCCCAGCGAAGTTTCGCCATTGCGGTGTCAATAACTGGTCTTTGTCTTATGTTGGCAGTTGTTCTCGCTGTGCTGTGTATATTAGCAAGACGACGAGATAAGAATGTATCGTCAAATTCTGGCAGCTCAATATATAGCGGTCCATATACAAATACAGCATACTCGCATACGAGTTAGTCAGTCCAGTCAATTAATTTGGAAGAATTAATATTTAATATTTACGTGGTGAATGTGATGATGAGCACGAATGATGATGAATGATTTTTTTTTTTGTAATCTTCTTAGTGCCTTTCGAGATAGTTTTGGAGCGTGTCTGAATATATTCTTACTTTTTATTTATCGAACGATTATCGAAAAGCACAACAATTACTTAACGACTTAAAAACTGATCTAGTGATTATTGTTCATTCGAATATACAATATAATATTATTAATATTAATCTAGTATGCGCTGATCCGATGAGGGGTTGGTCATTAATGGCTTCATGAGAGCGGGGGGGGGGGGGGGGGTATCTGAATCTGTCATACAGAAAAATAAATTTTGTAAAATAGGAAGAGGAGGAGGGGGGTTGGTGAACGACATCATTGGTGAATGACCCCATTTATCGAAAAATATAGAGCTTTTTAACAATTGATTAACTGTGCTGGGGAAAAGCAGATTTTCCTCTAATTTCACACTGTCTTGTGACTAAGCAGTTATTATTAATATACATGAAATAATCGAGTTGATAGCACTGCCGGCAATTTGCCACTCTCACACTACTACTGATTGCCATTTTGCTATCTCGGAGATTCCTGATGTGAAATTTTTTTGAATTCTTGAGGATTTTTGGGTTTAAAAATTCCACATCAGGCATTTAAATCTCTGACAACATAAAATAGACTTAAAACTAATGAAAAACTTCCTCAGAAAAGTTCTTTTGGTTTAACTTTGTCATTTATTTGACAGAACTTTTTTGCTCATAAAAAAGGTTTATTAATTACAAATTAAAAAAAAACAGTTGAAAATTAAACTTAAATTACAAATTCCTTAAAAAATGGTTTTAAATTTTTAAAACCCGTTAAAAGTAGATTTGAATCTCAAAAAACCGTTTTAAATAGATTAAAACTTTCAAAAACCACAAAAATAGATTTGAATATCAAAAAAAAACCGTTAAACTAGATTTCATTTTAAAAAAAAACACAGTTTTAAAATCAATTTTTATGAGCAAAATGTGAAACCTTTTCCAAAACTGAAGAGCTTCCTCTTAGACTAACTTAAATTGGTGGCGGGTAATCTTAAATTGATGAAAAAAATATGTAAAAAGTTGTTCTGCATCACAAGTGCGTTTTGAGTGATCATTGTAAAATTAAATAAAATCCTCACAAACGAGCTTCTGGAGCTTAACGACTTTCGACGATAATTAATATTTAATGAAAAGTCAATCAAATAATGATGAAAAAATAACTTTGTATTAAAAGAGAATGAAAAATAGAAAGAAAAAGTCCTTACAAAAATTATTTGTTGAAAAAGAAAAGAAATGTTTTAAAATTTTTGGTGCTTTAACATCCTTTAATAAAAACGAAATTAATTCCGAAAGACCTTATTTTGTTGTTTCATTGATTTTACTTCTTTCAGATTTAATTTGTCTTCTAGGAATTAATCAATAATTATAATATCGAAAATAACGGTTTTAAACAATTTGAACTTTCAACAAATTTTCAAATCTTTTTTGAATTTTTGAAAACCTTCGAAATTTAAATTTTAGAAACCCGTTAAGAATTTGAATTTCAGAAAACCATTAAAGAATTTATGCCTTAACTTTGCCAATTAAATTGAACATGTCACGAAACTTCACTTCTGGATGTTCTGCGACTATTTAAAAAACCATTAAAAAGTATGATTGTTAAAATTCAACCTTTATTCAATTTACATAATTCAGTTAAAATCATTTATGTCTTCATCTATCAACTATTCTGATGCAGGAGGCGGCAAAAATGGTTTTGTGAGATTATACTTGATAAGTCCTTCAATATCCTCAAATTTTACACTTCTGTGCATCCTCGTGATATGAATTTTGCAATGATGCTTGTAATTAAATGCCTTTCCACATGTTTCAACGCCACAAAGGAACTTTTGGTTCTGATGGATAGACAGGATGTGTCGATTTAAATTACTTATTTTAAAATACGATTTGGAACAATACTGACAATGATAATCTCTAGTTTGTAAGTGATTACTCTTAATATGATGATGTAGGGATGATTTATCGAAATAATACCGTCCGCAGACGTCACACTGGAATTTGGGATCTTCGTGATGCAGCATATGTGCCTTTAAATTTTCATTTCTCTTAAATTTCTTTCCACATGCTGTACACACAATCTTCTTATCTGTCGAGTGAGTAATTTTGTGCTTCCGTAGCCTTAATTTATTCTTAAATGGCTTATTACAAATTTTACATACAAAACTTTCTGGATCTTGATTAAGTGGCTGTAAATCAATAATTACTGCATTTTCTAGCGGATTCTCTTGCTTAATTGATGCCACACTACTCATATCAATAGCTTTTTCATCTTCACTAACTTGTGATGTCCTGCTTTTCCTCTTTCTGCTTCTTTTTGTTGGCTGCTGGAAGTCATCATCAAATTTTGTGGCATATTCATAATCTTTATAGAATTTCTCTTGATTCTCAATCAACTGCTTCTTAAGAGTACTAGCTAGCTGAAGAGACCGTAAGCATAATTCACAAACAATATTTATATAGCATTCAGATGTAAGCAGTTCCATTTGAGTGACATTTTTAAAGTCATACTTAATGTCATTATTGATTTCATGAAATTTCTCTGTAAAATCAAGAATTTTCAAGCAAAATCGACAGCTGAAAGATAAATTGGGGTTTAGTTTATCGTTTTATGATAGTTCATCTATCTTACTTCTCACTCATAATTAAGATTTTAATCAATTTTGTGATTTTCTTTATTAAAAATAAAATAATTTAAATGTTTGAGATTTTTTCTAATATTTTGATTCAATACCGAGATGATTTAATGAAGAAACGTAAACATACACAATGATTTTTGCATAAATTTTAAGTTGCTGGATCCGGATCTGGATCTTTTTTGAAAACCGTTATTTTCAATTTGAATTTAACGGTTTTCAAAATTTTAAGCTCGTTGAATTTTTCAAATTTTTGAATACCGTTAAAATTTAAATTTGAACAATGCGTTAAATTAGATCAAGTGAGGATGAATAAATAGAATTTTGAACTAACATATTTATATAAGCTTAATACTTATATAGATGAAAAATTACATCCTAATGGTATCTAGTATCTAGATGCTCTGTCGTGGCAAAAAGTTCTGACTATCAGGAAGTGACGACTCCTCACTATTCACTGAAATAATTCTAGCCTTTTTAACCAATTCATCGATTTCATAGGTCTGTAATTTTCCATGTGTGGAACCTAAATGTCGTCTTAGTGCCGATCTATCCCGAAACAAGTTTGTGCAATTCGAATAAGTACATACATATCGCTGATTCATGTGCTTAGCTAAAATATGTCTTTTAAGATTTGATCCCTTAAAATAAGTGCTATCGCAATGTGGACATTTATAAGTAGGAATTTCAGTTTGATGTTCATTAATCAAGTGCTGCTTAATGACGTGTTGAGAATCTGTTGTAAAACTGCAGTAAAGGCAATCGAATGTATTTGTTTCTGTATTTTTAAAGAATACTTTTTCTGAACCTCGACATGCGTTCGTCCATCTGGGTTTCTTAACTGGTGCTATTTCCTTTTCTTGGTCTTGAAATGTTCCAAATTCCTTGCATACCTGAATCTTTCCTAATTTGGTGCTTCCTCTTGTTGACATGCCTTCCTTAGTCTCTTTGATAGCCTCTTGACTGCTTGATTCTTCAATTTTGACTGGGAAGTATAGTAATTGATCAATCGGATTTGGATCGTGAAAGTCTTGTTCCTTAATTATACTATTTTCTTCAAAGCTCTTTTCCTGTTTCACTTTCACTACCTCTTCATCCTCATCAGCACTCAATTTAAGTCTTTTTGATGGTTTAGAAATTGGGATTTTTGCTAAAGGAGGCGGTTCCGTAACATTAATTTGATTAACGGGTTTACTAAGTAATTGATTCAAGATTTTATGATCAGAACTATTCGTGTTTTGGTTCACAGCTGATGTAATGGATGACTGATTTTGGTACGCTGGCAATGAATATTCTGAACTTTCATAGTCCATACTGTCATTTAAATTAATATCACTGATTGGATGTGTATTTTGTTGTATCTTGGACTGATTCATATATCGGAATTGAGGCTCGAATGCCTGTATTGGCGATTCTGGTTCCACAATTTCTCCATCTTTTTCAATTAGGTCATAAAGTCTTTGTTCATTTTCCAATAATTGTACTCGCAGAGCATTTGCCAATTGTAGTGTCCTTAGACATAATTCACAGACATGTTTCGAGCACATTTCATAATCGAGTAAGTTAATTTGAGTGATATTTGTAAAGTAAATCTTAATTTCGTCGTTTATGGTCTGATGATTTTCGTTAATTTTCCTTGAACAGAAGCGGCATCTACAAGATAATGACATTATTAGATACTAGATATCATCGATTATAGTTCTGCATCTACTTACTCAGCCATTATGCTCGAATAATGATTGAAAATTGTGATATAAAATTTTGTTTTGATTATTTTAGAAAATAATATTCTGAGATGACGAAAAGCTTCTGAGAGGATGATAATAATAGTGGGAAAGAATTTGAAATTTTTTTAACCGTTATATTTAACTTTTGTTTTACTGAAATTCCTTTGAAAATAGTTATTATAATTCAACAGGTGATCAATGATTCTTGACATCCTTAATCACGAGTATATCAAACATATACTGCTGGTTATTTAATAGACTTATTGACACTATCAGAAATCTCTTTACTTCTATACAAATTCTAATGAATTAATGATGTCTTAGTAAAGAATTATAATCAATGTAATGATTGATAATGTATGATTCAGGAAATTGGAAGAGAAATGTTTATTATAACTTGATAGCTACACCTTTTTTTTTTATCACAAAGTACATTCTTTCAAGCGGTTTCAAAGTTTATTCAGACGTCGATTATCGACTAATTAGTGAATTATTTAAGGTTGGGGGAGGTAAGCAATAACATTATTTCCCAAATTTTATTTTCAAAAGTAAAGTCATACTCAATATCAGAGTCGGCAGCATTCGCTTAAGCGACGGTCTCCAAATAATTAATATCTTATGTATGCTCAATAGTTTATGGCATTCGTCGTTCGGATTTGCTCTGATCAGTATCGAAGTCTGGCAAAATGGGTTGGACTTCGGATTATATAATCAAGCTTGTAATGCGTACAGTTATCGAACAATTGAGAGCAAAACTCATTAAAAAGTGGACGTGCTTAGTTCTAGCTTTAGATATTTAATCATCAGACCATATTACATATTGTTCTATTCTGAATCGTGAATGCACATTTCCAAAAATAAATAGAGGAACTCGAGGGTACGATTATTAATTTTAGTTAAATTTAATCTTTGAGTATAAAATTTCGTTTTCTAAACATTAAGCTTTTCATCAAGTGCTGCACAATCAAAAATGGATGACTTTAAGACTATTGTCAAGAAGATTTATGAAAGCGATGAATCGAATCATACAATTGATTTCAATTATTCTCGTTTCTTCACAAACCTGATGATTCAAAAATGTCGTAACAATAATCCTCAAAATAAAATTATGACAAGACTTTTGACAATTGAGCGAAATGGTCAATTATTGCCTAAATTAACATGCTATTTGACTCCAACAAATATTATGGTTGCAGACTGTGCTATAAACGAAGGACATTCAAAAGGAATGTTTAAACATTTGAAACCAGAATCAGCATTACAGAATCTAAATGTTGAACTGATTCCAGCTCCGATACAGTATTTACCTGATGCTGCTTTGTTAATGACTGCTGTTACCAAATTCACACATGAAAAAGTTCCGTACTCAATTAAGAATGATCCAGGACTTGCCATCGCACTTGCATTGATTGAGTCAATCTTTGAAGGCTTTTGGACTAAATATGAACTGTATTTACAAAATCCAGACGAAGAAATGAGAGTTATTGATGACAACTGCAATTTCAATGCCAAGTGGGGTAAAATTTACTTTTGTGGATTCATTGCAAAGAAAAGAACTGAGGCTGAAAAAAAGTTCATTGCATTCATGATCATATTATCAATCTTTAAACCTTTGAATGATATTCAAAGTGCTGTAAATGCTCGAAAGAAGAGATATCTGGTCATTAAATCAATGTATGATTCCTTGCCAGCTAATCAGGATGCTCAATATGTTGACACATTGACAATGCAGCACTTGGCAAAATATTTCAGCAAATTACCAAGATTAAAGTCAATGATTTTGTCATGTGCTGTTTTAACCGTTAGAGAATTGGATAATCAGCCAATTCATGACTACTTGCTAAAGATTCTGATTCCACTTGAAATGATTTTGTTTATCATAATTGATGAGTTTGTTTGCATGCCTGAAAAAACAAAAGCTCACTGCCATAAGAAGATCATTAAGGAAATTCATTACTTCCTAACTGTCAAGCAAAAATTGAAGGAAAGATTTGGAGACAATTATTATTTTGCTAAGCTCTTGGATCCAACAATAAAAGAAGTGAATGTGGGAAATTGGAAACATTTAGGAGCTTTGGCACTAATGAGTGCAAATGTAAAGTATCCAAAGACAGAACAACTTAAGGTTCTGGGATTATTATATGAAATCGATTATCCAGAACTGTTGATGAATGTTATTAATCCGAATTCTGTTGGGCGTGCTGATTCTGGTCTACGTGACAGCGATTTGTTCTTGAAAGCTATGTATGGCAATTAAGGATTATGGTGATGAACAATTCATTCTGACACTTATTTTTTTTTTCCTTATAATTTTTACTTTTGATTGTTTCTACTTTGAAAATTTTAATAAATCTAATTCGTTCTTTACTCAAAAATCATATGAGCGGATATGAGCATCTTTCTATATAAATTGAAACACGAAAAATTCGAATTCCGAAAATTGAAACATTAAAAATTTGAGTTCCAAAAATTGAAACACGAAAAATTCAAATTCAAAAAATTAAAACACGAAAAATTCAAATTTCAAAAATTGAAACACGAAAAATTCGAGATCCAAAAATTGAAACACGATTTAAAGATTTAAAGATTGAAACACGAAAAATTCGAGATCCAAAAATAGAAACACGAAAAATTCAAATTCCAAAAATTGAAACACGAAAAATTCGAGATCCAAAAATTGAAACACGAGAAATTCAAATTCCAAAAATTGAAACACGAAAAATTCGAGATCCAAAATTTGAAACACGAGAAATTCAAATTCCAAAAATTGAAACACGAAAAATTCGAGATCCAAAAATTGAAACACGAGAAATTCAAATTCCAAAAATTGAAACACGAAAAATTCGAGATCCAAAAATTGAAACACGAGAAATTCAAATTCCAAAAATTGAAACACGAAAAATTCGAGATCCAAAAATTGAAACACGAGAAATTCAAATTCCAAAAATTGAAACACGAAAAATTCGAGATCCAAAAATTGAAACACGAGAAATTCAAATTCCAAAAATTGAAACACGAAAAATTCGAGATCCAAAAATAGAAACACAAAAAATTCAAATTCCAAAAATTGAAACACGAAAAGTTCGAATTTCAAAAATTGAAACTCAGAAACAGGGACCAAAATGAATGAAAAAAATCTGTGATGAAAAACATCATTATTTTTGATGATGAAAAAAATTGTGATTTTTTTTCATTTACGTAAATTATTACGTAAACTTTCATCACGTAAGAATCATTTTTACGTAGGATTTCATCACGTAAAGCAAAAAATGATGATGAAGTGATGTTTTTCATCACAGATTTTTTTCATTCATTCTGGTCCCTGCTCAGAAACTCCAAAATTATCCAATCCAAATCACAACTTCTGTTTGTCGGCCTCTTTTCTACCGAAATAGAAAAGATCACAGGACTCACCTCGCGAAGGTCAACAGAACGAGTCCCTGGTTAATGATCAATTTTTGGTCGAATTCCTCAGTGATACGCTCCTTCTTAAATCAAACAACTTTCGTTAGACGACTTAGTTGCAACTTACAGGATAGCCAAGTTTTACCAACTATGACAAAAACTGTAAGTTAAACACATCACCGGGTTACATTAAATGCCGTGATGCATCTATCATTAAGGGTGTGCGACCCATCTGGAAGCGCCTCTATAAAGATCAATGCCGCCGTGAGTCAACCAATTTCAATACCACTGGCCTTTACGTCCCCTCCAAACCAACAAGAACAAGCTGTAACACCGTAAGGCATGGCTTGGAGTCATGAATAGAGAGCTCACGTTCAGGCTTTATTGGGCAAAGATCTTTTTATGTCTCTTAGCGGCCCGGAAGTATTTGTTGTGAATGAATTGGAAAATTTCACCAAATACAAAGTTAAGTATGTGAGCTGAAAAAGAAGGATTAGTAAACAGGATAAAACGAACGGACGGATTGACAGGAATGTTTTTTTTTGGACAGCCCACCCTCAACCCCCTCTTAAGTTATTCCTAAAAAGTTCAAAGCCCTTTTTATAGAGGATAAGCCTCGTTCGATAAAAATTGTATAAAAAACTCGAACGCGCCATTGTAATTCATTCATGTCCAGATTTTAAAAAAGAAAAATCCCCTTACGTTAACGCAACTACCAATTGCCCCTCCCCAATCACCCAATCACCCCTCACGCAATCACCCAAAGACCCGAATCCTTCCCTTGGCGTCACTGGAGCGCCACTCCCAGATAGATTTGATTAGGCTCTTCTCGCCGGACCCACCCAATCACCCCTCACCAAATCACCCTTCACCCAATCACACCTCACGCGATAACCCAATGACCCAAACCCTTCCCTTGGCGTCACTGGAGCGCCACTCCCAGATAGATTTGATTAGGCTCTTCTCGCCGGACCCACCCAATCACCCCTCACCAAATCACCCTTCACCCAATCACACCTCACGCGATAACCCAATGACCCAAACCCTTCCCTTGGCGTCACTGGAGCGCCACTCCCAGATAGATTTGATTAGGCTCTTCTCGCCGGACCCACAGAATCACCCCTCACCCAATCACCATTCACACAATCACCCCAACCCCTCTCCCCTCACACAATCACTCCAACCCCTACCCCCTCACATCCCTACCCCCTTACACCCCAACCCCCTCGCACCCCTACCCCCTCACACCTCTAACCACAACCCAAACTACTAACTCCTCACACCCCTACACCCTACCAACTACCCTCCTTTTAACACCCTCAGCTTTTGGCACTCTCCTAGTACCCATTAATACCACAACAAAACCAAGATTGTACAGACCTTATTACAGACGACATTAGACCCTTCTTTACGGTACCTTTTGAAACTCGAACATAAACTGGAAGTGGAAGTTTTGGACATCTTTCATTGGAGTTTACATACTGAAAAAAGCGAAATAAAAATTATTATTAGATCGATTAATGAAAAAACTGGCTTGCAATGTGGTGAATTGCTATTCGCATAATTCATTTTTTTAAGGTATCAATTGTAGGGTGGGGGAGTTTTTTGCGATTTAAATCAAAATCAAAAATCAAATTGTGATTTTTGATTTAAATCTCAATGAAGAATAATTTGAAAAATGA